TATATCACTTAAAGCCCTTTGAGGCAGAGACATCTACCATCTTACCTCTTTGTTACCCACAGGCTAAGGATCGAATTCAATATTACCAACTAGATGAAGTCTTTGTTTTTCCCTATGATATGGGAAGTCGATGGAAGAACTTTAAACAGGTATTCACATGGTCAGGGGTCCCTGAAGGAGATGGACTAGCATGGCCAGTAAGAGAAGACTGTCACCAGTACAGCTTAACAGTAAGTGTTTCTGTTCAGATAATCTTTCCTTTCTGTCTCCCTTCTTCCCTTTAAGTTTCCCTTAACTCAGATGACATTTTATAGTAAAATAAGTCATAAAATTTTTTTCAGTTTGGCAAAAATAAATCTAACAACCCTAAAGCACTCCATATATCCTATCTCTCTTTTTCTTTAAATCTCTCTGTAATTCTCCATACATGTGAGATAAAGTCCTGATCCCTTCACTTAGTTATAAAATCTGGCCTAAAGCTGCCTCTAACTACTTCCTAATGGAAATCACCCTTTCCAGTCCGCCTGGTTTCCTCAGTGAACTCCCTGTGCAATCTTGCACCTACATCTGTCTATGCCGGTTTTTCTCTCTTGTATTACCTCTTCTCTATAGGAAATTATCAAGCCCGGTGTCAGCCCCACCTTGTCTGGATGTGGCCCTTAACTATGTGCCACTGTATGGCGCACATGAGGTCTCATATTTTCATTTAATTCTTATATCTAATATCTTTAATTTGACAAGATTCTAGTACAGACACCATGAGTTATCTTGATTTCCCCTACTGTATCTAAGATAGTACCATTTAATAAATTGTTGCTGAATAAGTGAAGAAAAGTGAGTTGAAATGATTTTTAGTGGAGACTTGCAGATGAATTTTGCAGTCTGTCTACCTTGTCTGTAAGGAATCTGAATGTCTGGGTCATCTTCACCTTCAGGACTAGCCTAGAAGCCCCATGAGGGCAGTGAGCACATCTCCCTCTTCCCTGGGCCATAACAAATGCTCAGTGAGTATACATAGATTAAAACAGTAGAATACGGAGAAGAAAGCCCCATGTCAGCTCCAACTCTCAATCATAGTGCCTACTTTTCTGAAAAAAACAAAAACAAAAAACAAAACATGTGGCCTTTGTTTTGTCAGCACTGTGAAATGCTGGAAAATTGGGAGTTTGTCATGTCACTGTGATACAGTAAATGGCACAAGGCTGTTTTCAACACTAAGATAACATTTTTTCTTATGTCTCCAAACAGATTGAACAGTTGAAACAAAAAGCAGATAAAAGAATCAGAAGTGTAAGTCATATTTTTTGCAATTATACTAGTTTCTTTTCCTTTTGTCAGGCTCTATACTTCTGTGTAGTTTTCAGAATTGCCTTTGTGTAGAAGCCAACCGTTGGCTTTTATTAAATAATATTTCTTAGTATAACCGTTGAAATTTGATACAATTCACTTTTGTTTTCTTTTAAATAGTTTAGACTGGAGGTTTAGAGGGAATGTAGTCCGCTTATATTGCCAACAGGAAAGTAATTATCCTCAATATAGCTCATTAGTGTGAAACTCATCCTTAGACTTCTGCTGTACAATATGATGGCCACTAGCCACATGTGGCTATTTAAATTTAAAGTAATTAAAATTAAATAAAAAATTCACTTCCTTGGTTGCACTGGCCACATTAGAATTATTCATTAGCTACATGTGTCTAGGGGCTACCACATTGGATACCACAAATATGGGACATTTCTGTCATTGCAGAAAGTTCTGCTGGACAGCACTGCTCTAGAACTTAATTCTTAGCTATGTGCTTAAAATGCAGGGTAAGAAAAGCCTGGAAAACTAGAAACATCAGTTGCCTCCTATAAAGGAACTGGGAGGGAAAGACTTGTCACCTGATACTTTGGATCTGCCTTTAACAACTTAAATTCAAATTTACAGAAATTAAGGGGTAAATGTTAAATTATTTTTCTGATTACTGATGACAGGTGCGGTATAGAGTAATAGAGGATTACAGTGGTGCCTGCTGTCCTTTGAATAAAGGAATCAAAACCTTCTTCACCAGCCCCTGCACTGAGGAGCCTCGAATAAGGCTGCAGAAAGGGGAATTCATTTTAGCCACAAGAGGGTTACGGTGAGTTGTAGGAAGTACTGAATTTCTTCTTTAATGATGAAATTAGCATCTAACCTAAAAAAAATTAATTTTAATCTTTTAAATATTTCAGATACTGGTTGTATGGAGATAAAATTCTTGATGATGCCTCTGTAGAAGGTATGGAAATGGAAAGAAATGTTTAATAGACAAGGTTGCTAATAATTCCAAATTTTGCAGGAATAACTCTTATAAACACAATCAGTGTCACATGCATTAGGGCACATAATAGACACATCATCAAGCAAGAAAAAAAGACTTCTTATAGAAGTGCTTCACTTGTGATATTGAAGTCCCCAACAGCCCTTACTTACATTTCATTGGTGAGGAAACTGAAATGTAGAGAGACTGAGCACTTTGCCTGAGACCACACTAAAAACGGTAGAGCCAGGGCTCCAATCCAAGAAGCCTGGCTCTAGAACCTGTACAATAAACCCCTCTGCCATACCGTCCCTCTGTGAATGAATATTCCCATGAAGTTATTATGGAAACTGATGGATTTGAAATTGTGTCTTCAATTTTTTTTTTTTTTTTTTTTAAGTTTTAGGGTTGTTCTTTCTTAAAGCAAAGATTAATCCCAGATGCTTTTTCTAAAACACTGGGTTAACCGTGAATTAACCCCATATAACCGCTTAGGCAACCTGTTAGAAAAAACCTAAGAAGGAAATTCACAGAGGCTGCAGGGAGGTGGTTCCCTGGAACAGATAAAGTATGACATTGGGCCCAGAACACCACAAGCATGCATGTGCAAGTGAATACCCATATTGAGAAGTCCGTCCCCTCCAGCTCTACTTCGGGTAGTTCTGAATCACATAAGCACCTTTCCAGATAATGACATTTGGGAAATACTGGTTTTTTAGCTTGTTAGATAGCATTTTAAAACTATTTTTTTTTCTCAAATTGTAAAAGATGGTAAAGGGAAAAAGTAAAGCAGAACTAAAAGCTTATTGATTTGAATAGGACTTATAGGGCTCAGCGGTATCATTGTTGTAAAGCTATTTCACATCAGTTTCATTTCCTCCATCAGGTGTCTCACGAATCAGAGGCTGGTTCCCTAGAAACTGTGTGGAGAAGTGTCCCTGTGATGCTGAAACAGATCAAGCCCCAGAGGGAGAGAAGAAAAATAGATAGCCACTGTTATAGTAAAATTACTCTTTAAATCCTCTCCATTACTTGAAAATTGTACATATTACTACAGAATTATGCAATGACCCTACTCTGGGCAAGGTGTTCTTTTCTTCAAAGGTGCCCTAGTGCCATAATCTAAATATTTTTATTACCATTTTGAAATGGAGAAGCCATTCTGCACATGCCTTTGAATTTCTGCCCCCTCTTTGCCACCTCTTCCTCTCCTCAAAAGGAAAAACACTTCACCCAAGTAAGTCAGTTGCATTTTCTCTAGGATTTTTTTTATGCTGTGCACACTATGGACCTCACCTGCAGATAGAGTTCCCCCGTTTGCCAGGAGCATCTGCATGTGATGCTTTTATCTTGTTTCCCCCTCAGTTGATATTTCTTATATAATATTCTAGATACTATAGAACATAATAAGTCAGATTCAATATAAGCTTAAATTTTATTACCTGTCTTTTAATAATGCAAATTTTTGTCAAATCAAATAAAGATCAATGGATGTTCTATATAAATCCAGTTTTTACTTAAAGCCTCTTTCTTTGGGTTGACTAAAAAGATTTATCTTCATTCTTTCTGGAAAAACTGCTCTACTACTTGTGAAAAATCAGCATCTTTAATCATGAGTCTTAAGGTATTCAGTAAATGAATTAATGGCATATTGAGATCACAGCATTCTGGGAGACTTTCAACCTAGCGAGCTTCAGCTAGTCATGTACACTTGAATCTCTCAAAACCCGAAACTCATGCAAAGGAAAGGATCTAAGCTGGAGGATTTGGATGCTTAACGTTGGGCTTGTCCAAACACAAGTAGAATGAGAGGAGTCCCCTCCTCCCATACTAAGTCTTTCCAAGGCAGGGAACTTGAGCTCTTGGAGGGTTGTAACAGTTAACGTTAAGGAAAGGGCACTTGGCGATTTAGCAGTATATGAAACATGACTCTGTCCCCTTCTAGTGATAGGTGGGGAGGTAGACAGCAGCAAAATATGCATCAGATGGAGTCATGGATTATGAAGAAAGCAGGTAAGATGGTCTGATGGAAGTGACCTTCGAAGCAGTTGAAGGGATACATCACGTGCCTCTGGGAGTAGCTGCGTCTTAGAAGAGAATAGCCAGAACAGGCAGGAATGTGCCTGGCACCTTTGAGGAATAGGAAGGCAGCCAGTGTGGTTTAGTTGGAGGGAGGGAGTAGGAGAGGAGGCCAAGGAGGCCATGGTCTAGGAGCTAGACCATGGAGGGACCCTGTAAGTTAATTCTTGCCTTCCAAGAATAGACATTTCTTCAGTTTTTCTGGGCTCAGGGTCTAGAAGGACCATCCAGGAATGTTCTCCTTACTTCCAATTAGAGGACAGAAAAAAACACCATTCAAGACGAGAGCAACAAAGATGGTAAAGGAGGAAACTGAATAGTGTGCTTGGTTGGAGTTTAGGCTCAGCTGGTATTTGTTTTAATATTCACAGCTGGGGGATGAGAAGGTCTGGTCCTCTCCACATTGCCTTCAATAGCCACCAATCTTAGTTGTGTACTAGAATCACCTAGGGACCTTTTAACAATCCCTATGCCCAGGCTACATTACAGCCAGAACGCACCCAGTCATTTCTAGGATCTCTGTAAACCCCTCCAGTGACTCCAGTCTGGGAGCCACTGGCTTACTTGATTGCTAAGTGGTCCTCATCTAAGGCGGATTCTGATTTTTATCATAGTCTGTGAGGAAACACACACCACAGTGTACATATTTGCAGTAGTTTATTTTAAAGACTTTACAATGGAAGCAACGTGTGTTGTCTGGGGGTAAGGCATGGAGGGAACTGGAGTCCAGCAGAGAAGAGATCAGTCAGTTCCTTCCCAGAAGACAATCCTGTTGTGGACATTTCATGCTTGCCCATTGGTCTTTTATTCCCAGTTCAGATTATTTTTCCCACAGTTCTAGCTAGCTTCATTTATGGAAAAGTGCACTTGACGTGAGTTTAAACTCCTTCCCCCAGAGCTTCCGGCTCAGCAGCAAACTGTAAGGAAAAGATTTACAGATACTGCTGTAGATTAAACACTTAATGAACGTTCTTTTTGGACATGTTATAGACCTCACTTTTTAATTCTCCCAAGTCAGAAAACTTAAAAGTTGATTAAAAATTTCAGTGATTTTGAGGAATAGTTAGAAAACATGAATTATAATCAGCTTTTTAAAACTTAAAGGTCTTGTAATTTAAACCTTGGAAAGCTTAAGGGTTGGGACTGTGAACAAGGTAGGCTTACTGTAAAACAGCAAGGAAGAAGTCACTCTGGCTCTTGAGCTCGTTAGTGGTCACTTAAAGGTTAGAAGTTATGAGGAAGGGACAAAGAATAACAAATGGACCTTGAAGAAAGGCATGTTGAAGACCTAAAAACCTAAATATCAGCAACATTTAAGATGGGAAGGACAAGATTTATTTAGTTCAGGGCCAAGCTTTTACATATAACTCTCACAATATGTTTTAAAAAGACTCCAGACTATGGTTTTTATTAATTTAGTAGGTAAAATAAAAAACAGGAGGAAAGACAGAAAATTCATTTTTAATACATATTCCTACAAGGTAGGCTCCCTCTGAGCCCCCTCCAGCTCTAAGTACCTTAACCTACTCCTGGATGTTCTCATACAGGCTGTTGATTTGGGTTCGAAAGTACTTGGAAAGCTCTCCCCGCTTTGCTTTCAGTGTTGGTGTCAAGAGTCCATTTTCAATGGAAAATGGCTCTAGTTGAAGAAAGATGTTTTTGACCTGGAAGAGAAGATGCACACACACATACACGTTTATTAGTGATTCAGACTTCTTCGTAGAGCCCTCTGCATGCCATGTGAAGAAGTTGATACATGTGGGATTGATGAAGTGGGAGGATAGACAATAGTAATGCATGCCCATTTCCCCAAACTGATAATTTGGGAAAGAAGCGAGAATGGATAATAAATGGCAAAAAGAGGATTGTACAAGTAAGTATAAAAGGTCACTGCCATTTGTACTTAATGAGTTAATGGTACAAAATCTCAAATCAATACCTTGGGAATTACATTGAAACTCTATTTTAAATGCAAACATTAAAACTTTAGTATGACTTGAGAGACCAGGATTACATCAGTAGTACATACCTGTTCAAAGGACTTAAGACCACCGTCTTTCCCAACTTTCTGCAAGTCTTCTAAAATGGCTTCCCTTACATTCTAAAAATATACAACACAGCTTAAAGCATGGCTGGTTTGAAAAAAAAGACCAAATGAAACGCTAACCGTGAAACAATTCAAAATGCCTACAAAAGCTCATCAGGGTAAAAGCCAGATATAGGCATATGTATGTACAAGCATGTCTAATGCTTAATATAGCTCAAAAAAAAATAATGAGAAGGAAAGGCAAATCTAAATGTTAACAGGGATGTTTTCCTCTGGATGACATTTTTTGAATCTCTATTCTCCAATTTTTTCCCCCATAATGAACATACTATAAAAAGAAGAGAGAGTTTTTGTTTTTGTTGTTTCTTTTTAACTTCCCATTCTATCCTCCAGTCAAATAAAACCAGTCAATCTATTTCAGCTGCAGCCACCTATCCCAAGTGCCAGAAAAGTCTGTTCTTCAAGAGAGGAAGTCATGATTCATGCTTAAGTTGGTGAGGCCTCTGCTCTCCCACAATGGGCCCCATGGGTGTGCGTAGAACTTTCTTGGGCAAGACTTACTTTGTTTTTGCACAGTTCTTCGAGGGAGCCTTTAACCCCAAGTTTGGCTACAAATGAGGGCAGTACTTCTGGGTCAGGAACCACCACTCCTACTAAGGAGGACTATAGAAAGGAAACAAGGCATGAGGGCATGTGAGAGCTGGGATTGTGTCATCCCACAACAGATGAAGACACCAGGATTCTATCTTTGTGGTAGGTACTTCACAAGACCTCAGTTCAATACAGTGTCTTTTATATCCTATACATTCTTTTCTCACCATATATTTCAAACCCTTATGGAATTCTGATTCCATTTTCCTACTCAATATATTTTTACAAAAATGTTCTATTAAATTTGATGATTCAAAAGGAAATGATGTTCAACATTAAGCCTAAAGCATCTCTGTTCTTTTCCCAACCCCTACACACTCCCCAAAAGTTAAATGTAAGCACAATATGTACAAAATAGTTTATTGTGCCAGAGGAATTCCCACTGTACTGGGAACTAAGTGTGACATGAGGACCTTTGTTACTAAATTGTTACCCTTTAGAAGAACCATTGTAACAATTCCATTGACTTGTTCACAGACTCCATCATAAACAATTTTTTTTATAACCTATGTATTGTCTTGAGGATTGGAGTGTGACTTCACTTCTTTGGTTTTATAAGCTCAAATCTCATCCTCAACCCACCTATACATATTTCTTGTAGCTACAGGAACCAGCATGGCCTGTCCCTGAAAATGGCTATCATTAATATAGTATGTTACCCGTAAGCTGTCCCCGTGCACAAAAATTTGTGACACTGGTCTACTCCTGATGTAGACATTTTCTATCTTCTCTGGAGCAATGTATTCTCCTTGGGCCAGTTTGAAAATGTTCTTTTTACGGTCAATGATCTTCAGAGTTCCATTCTATGGGAAACAGATAACAGTATCAGTGTTTTTGAGCCCTATGGGTGAGGTCAGTGGCAAAGTCACAGGTATTTTCCTTCTGTAAACTTCATCCCTCTAGAGACTTTTGAGTACGGTTTCATTTCTCTTTGTTGGCTTTGGGGAAAGAGAAAGGGAGCAGCTTCCAGCAAGAACCTGTCTATACTGTTTTGTCCTTTTGGAGAGTCATTATGCAGCCTCAGAAAGCATCCCCAGGACCTTCTAAAGTTGTAGAAATGGTCGCCTCATCCAGGGAAGAAACTTGGCAGCTCTGAATTTCCAATTACTTAATTTCCAATTATTCCATTTCCAGAACTCTCAGGAATAGGGAAGGAGTTATCTTTACTAAGACTTTGAATTAGTTAGATCTCCCCTCTCCTTGACTCCCTTTTATGTATCAGTCCTCTTAAATCCTGAAGCAGGCTAAGGTAGCTTCACTGTCCTAATGCTAATCAAGCAAGTCAATAATTGTGCTTGGTAGGGCTGACCAGCTACCAGAGGTCATTTGCAGCTTCATTTCTCTGAGTTAATTGGTCCAAGGGCTTAGGTTCTTAGTGATTTGAATTGTAGAACTGGGACAAATGGCAAATACAAGCCACACGATCACACCTCTGAAGTAGGACAATAGGATGAACCAACCATGGAACTATCAAGAAGGCTGACTCCAGAAATCATCCTTCAACTCAGCCTAACGGATATTATCTGGAAGTGATTAATAAGTCTTGGCCCTCTCTAACTCTAGTGTGGAGACTTACTCAGAATTACATTTTTGGTCTATGAAAGAGCTGGGACTAGACCACAGATCTCCCACCTAAGTTCTTCAGCTGTATTATTCTCCTCCTTATAGTATGAAGATGCCACAAGCCATGTAGGATACAGATAGGATACAGACCCAATCCTTCCAGCTGCCTCAGCTAATTAATCTACTTGCATCTCTGCCCATCTTGCATATTATAATCTTTTGAATCCAACAGCAGAAGCTCCTAGAAATTTTGAAGAAGCACCCACCGGGAGCCAACGACCAATGTCTCCTGTGTGAAGCCAGCCATCCTCATCCAGAGCTTCCTTGGTTTTCTCAGGATCCTTCAGGTATCCTTTGAACACATTGCTGCCCTTGATGCAGATCTGCACAAGAAAGCAGAGGATGGTTAAGAGTGGCAAAGGTTGCACCTCCCAGCAGAGGCACTTCAAGTCAAACCCAAGTCTGCTCACATCACAGCTGTGTGCTCTTTGTGACATAAACATCTCTACCGTGATTGTCTGGGCATGACTACAGAGTATAATCTACCCACCTCTCCTTCATTGTTCACTGAAAAGTAGTTCATGTCAGGTACATCTTCTAGCTTCACATGATTGCAAGCCAGGGGGACTCCAACATGCCCTAGAATACACCACATTGAATCAGCTGAGGAACCACAAAACAGTGATAATTCCAGGCACGTTTGTGATATATTTATGGATTGACTCTAAAAGAAAAAGACTGAAAAGCTACCTGATGTCAATGCTGGATAGCCAAGATAGAAACGTCTGGACTGAAACTTGAGTTTGGCATTTGTCACACTTGTCCAGAGCAGTGAGGTCATCTAACCTAAACCCCAGTTCAGTTAGAACCCTTCTCCCAACCGCTGCATCTGCCCAGTAGGTGGAGAACCTACCTGATGTCCAGTCCCCAGGTGATGTAAATGTACAGCCAGCAGTGCATTCTGTTTGACCATAAGCTTCAAACACCTGGGGAAACAAAAGAAGGGTTTGAGACTTAAGAGAAAGCATGAGGTGTGGTAACAAGGCAAGACATGAGGAAAGCAAGATCTCAGGGTTGGAAAATACTTGGTGTCCTAAAACCTCTGACCCACACCTGAGCTGTAAAATCTCTACAACTTGGATGCAGTCGAAAACCAAAAGGCTCCAGAGATGGAGCAAAGTATAGAAACTTCTACTGTACCTTCAGGAAAGGTAGCATTTCAAGTTGAGCCTGGGCAGTTGGAGCACTTCTGAAGGCACTAAGGGAAGTGAGCAGTGTTTTTTGTTTGTTTTCTGGAGGGCAGGGGGTTGGTATTTTTTTTGTTGTTGTTGCTTTTTAAGGAAAATAGCTTCAGCTGTGATATAGAACAGGAGTTGGCAGGCTTTTTCTTTACAGGACCAGATAGTAAATATTTTCAGTTTTGTGAGCCTCTGGGTCACTTAGCCAATGTAGCACAAAAGCAGCTATAGACATCATGTAAATGATTGGGTATGGCTATGTTCCACCAAAATGTCACTTCCAAAAAGAGGCAACTGGCCAGATTTGGCCTGAGCTGTGGTTTGCCCACCCCTGGTGTAGAGTATCGATAACTTTGGAGACAAGCTGGTGGGGCAAACAGGTTGCATCAACTACTGCAGTGGGGTAGGGGCTGTGATAGGCAGACTTTGTAGAGATGGAGAAGGTGGTGTTTCTGGGAAGGGTGTGGCAACAGGACCTACTGATCCACTGGCTTAGGGGCTAAGAGAAATGAAAGTATGAAGAATGGCCAAGAGGGTGCTACTTTGAAAGAGTAGAGGACCTCTGACCTTGGCATCAGTTCAGAATCTTTTTTGATGGTGGATATACCTAAGGGGACTCTGTGAGGACAGGTCATCTATTTCATGCTGTGCATGTTGGTCAAATGGATGAACTAGTTAGCAATCTGGGGGAGAAAATCGAGAATTTCCATGCCCAAGTACATGTATGCAATTTCATATGGAATAGAGACTTCATTGGAAAAAAGTAAAACCATAAGATTATCAGAAAACATGAATGACATCAGCCTTATGGAATATTTGAGTCAGGGAGTCCTGGGTAAGCAATTCAAAAACCACAAATAAAGATTAATCAGTGTGGTGAAATAAACATTTGAAACTTTTAATATAGCAATATACAAGGCAAAAAGATGAGATTAGGAAAAATATTTCTAACAAGACAAAGATTAATATTATTACTATATGAAAAAAATTTTTAAAAATATTATTACTATATGAACTCTTGGAAGCAATGTGAAAAATAACCAAATTCTCATCCAGCCATTTTTCTATAAGAAAGTAATAGAGTAATTCATGGAAGAAATACAAGTGCCAATAAGTGATAGAAAAAATGGTCAGTGTTAATAAAAGAAACACAGTGAGATTTTTCATGTATCTGGTTGGTTAAGATTTAAATGACTGAGAAAACCTGACACTGGCAAGAATGTGGGGAAAGAAGATCGCATGCATTATTTGCAGCAATGTATAAAAAAGACAAGATCTTTCTGGAGGGAAGTGTGATAATCTACATTAACTTAAAAAGAAAATTCCTACATTTTGGCCCAGTAATGCCTACTTGCAGTGATTTCAATACCCAAGTTGATAATTGCATAAATGTAAAGGATATACAAATATCCTGATCATTTCATTGATTATAATAGAGAAAAAATAGCAACTTAAGTGTTGATCAGTAGGGGACTAGTTACTTAGGTACATCCAATAATATACTGCAAAACCATTAAAATGATGTAGATCTTGATTGGACCAGGACCAATCTTGATGGGACATGGTTTAACAAGTATTTTAGACCTGATGCCAGTTGATATAAAGGTTTCTATACACAGATGCATAAAGAAGGATTCTAGGATTATTTTCTCTTGATTTCATTTTTTAAAGGGTGTCTTCATTTTTTAAAGAGTGAGATTTGTGCCCAAGTGAAATAAGCTATCTTCAAAGAAGATACTTGGCTTACCGGACATCCCAGTGCTGCCCGGAGGAACATCAGGACTGGAGAGGAGATGGGGGCGGCTCCAGTGACCACAAACTTTATTCTCCCTCCAAGGGTGGCCTGTGCAGTAGAAACAAAAGAACTGTTGAAAACTCTTCCCTTGGCTTCCATTTCCTCCACTGCTAAATGGGTAGAACAGCCTAACCAGTGTTTTTTTTAATAAGAATTAAACTAGTTAGTTTACAAAGCACTTAAGAATAGGGGCTGACATTGAAAAACACCACTCAAAATGTTAGCTGCTATTTTTGCCATCATCTGTAGCTGGCACTATTCCTGCAGTTTTTAAAAAGTTCCTCAGATAATGCATATTCTCAGGCCCTTCGCATTATTACATATATTCTCAACAGACCACCTATGAGAATAAGAGTATGTGCTAGAACTTGAGTAAAATCTATATTTTACTTTTTGACCAATTTCCTTCAATGACAAAATTGTCCAAGAGAGATCTCAAAAAGTAAGTAAACACCATTAAAGAGACATTCAGCCATCAGAGAAAAGGCAAAATATGATAAGCTATAAGGAAGCCCAGATATTTGCCTGGTTCTGTCCAGGCCCCAACCAGCCTACCTGGATCTTTGCAAAGATGAGCTTGTCCCAAATACTGTCACGCCTGATGATACCCTTTTTCACTTCATTGAATTTACAGGAAATAGCCAAGTTCAATAAGAACTTCTTCAAGGGTGTCTTGGCTTCATTTTGTACCTGTAAGATGATAGCTCCTCTTAGTTAGAAACCTATTGGATACTCACCAAAGCCATTTATCAGTGAGCAAGAGTGACTTCTTGCTTCACAAAGAAGTGACTTTCATTCATGAACTGGGTGCTAAACAATGATGAATCCACAAAATTATGGCCACACTAAGACATAAGTGTACTGAGTATATATGTATGGAGATTTCTTGTCCTTGGTAAACAACTTTGACAACTGAGAAAAGCATATCCTCAAAATGTTGTCAGTATCTGCCCACCAAAGTCACCTAAGAATACTAGATTAAAAAAAAAAAAAAGCTCAATGGGTAATACCTTTTGAGCTTTTGAGTTAATAGATCAAAGACCTAGGGATTTGATATTTTTTTAAACAAGCACCACCTCCCCTGAACCCCACAATACCTGATGCTTATATACATTAAGTTTAGAGAAAAACCACTTTTCTCCATAATTAAAGCTCCTTTAGCCACACCACACAAAACCCAACAGACTTTCCACTTATTTCTTCCCTTTGGGCTTAATTCTGACACCATTTTACCAGCTCACATTATTTCACCAGACTCCTGTACTTTTGCCTCACTGACTAATCAACCATGCACCTGCCAAAAGAGAGCTTCAAGTACTACTTGAAATCCCCCCTTACTTTTAAAATTAAATCCTGAACCCCATATTCTGGTCTTTGGGACTCCATCCTATTGGAAGTCAGATTAAAGGAAAGCAAAGTTCTTTTCCAGTTCAAAATGGGGAAAGAACTCGCTAGCCATCTTCCATATTTATACTTCCATTTTTGAGTATATAGCTAGATGGAGCTGTTCATTCTCACCCCCTAATGCCAACTGTGCTGTCAGCTCTAGGCATCTACTCGTGCCTATACCATCATTTTACCAGTGTCTCACCAGCTTTCTCCAAGATCTACACTCAAATGTTGCTAGAATCCTGTCATTCCTGATAACTGTTTCAACCTTAAGAGATTTATCTTCAATTATTTACAAGACAGCTCCTCCTAATAAGTCACTGACAAGAGCTGGAATTTGGAGCCTCACACTAATAAAGCCCTCCATTTTTAAAATAAGTGGCAGAAGTAAACTCTATGTTAAGTATCACCATATCACAAAAAATTATCAGAAGTAAAAATGTCTGGGGAGCCTGGTGGTCCAGTTGGTTAAGCATCTGACTCTTGGTTTCTGCTCAGGTCATGATCTCAGGGTCATGAGATCGTGCCCTGAATTAGGCTCCGTACTTGGTGTGGAGTCTGCTTGAAATTCTCTCTCCCTCTCCTCTGTTCCTCCTGCTCAAGCTCTCTCTCACAAATAAATAAATCTTTTAAAAAAATAAAAGTAAAAATGTCTAACAACATGAACAAAAACCATAACAACCACCAAATAATTCCATAGCATGTTGAGAGCTACTAGGATCGTGAACAGTTCTGTTAAAAACAGCACTTTCAATGTCTCAGGGTCATCCGTGCTCTAGAATGCTGTCTGTCCCATCATTGAAGTCCCAGCATGGTATCTTAAGATTCACAGGTGTGAAGGAGAGAGCTATAACTCATGGGTGGAGTTCAAAGCATGTGAAGAGTGGCCACATGTTACTTCCTTGGGGCCTCAGGGCTCCTAGGTCTATGGAATTATAAGACAATCAAACACATGCTTAAGAGCCTGGGCTCTATTACTATTTTGCCTGGGTTCATATCCCAGTTACAAGGGCTCCTTGGAAAGATTAGACAATCCAAGACTTGGGTGCGAAACATACAAGATAATATTGGGACATGTTATGTCACAAGCAGGGAAGCTATCAGAAACTACCAGGGTTATATCAAAAGGACACATGAACAGCTTGATGGAGCTCCCAGCTTCCATGGTGGGACAATTTGGAGATCACAAAGAATGACTGAAATGTATTAAGCATAAAATTATGCAAATCACAGTTCATAATATTAAAAGGAAAAAATCTCGGTCATTTGAGAAGATCACTGGGGCACCAATTCATTATTCTGAAGATTGATAAATAAAGGGAAAGAGTATTTGTCATGTTTTTATGGAAGAATCTCAGCTAATGAATGCAAGAGAAGTGACTAAGTTAGAAAAATCACCATGTTGTAGACTGTAATGAAAAGCAGAGCAGTGATCAATCTAACTACTTTGTGACAATATGACTTTGGCCCAACCCGTTACTGGATGTCGCTCTGGTCAAATTGTTTTGTTTTGTTTTTTAATCTCTGAGGTTCAGTCTCAATAATAAGTGTAGATGTGATTTCCTATGTTTTTGTGAGGATTCAATGACAGAACACATATGAAATGCTGACCATGGGACCTGGTACCTCATTAAGAAGTTCAATAGTCAGTAGGTATGATGAAATCAAAGTAACCCCTCAGTGACTCAGCTTAATTTTGAGGGGCTCCCTAAGTCTCTTAATTGAGCTCTTTCTCCATATCTGGTCCAAGTGATCATATCCAGATGAAAGGGGTTTCATTTATGATGTTTTTTCACAGTTGCCATTTGTGAATGTGGCCATAAGTGGATGCTTATAGGGAGTGGGGAGTGGAAGTAGAAAAAATTTCTTAGAAAGATGGAGTCCCTCAGAGCCTTAGTTAGGCTTAATCTCGGGGCCAGCCCAGCAGAACCAAGGTTGGTACCTTATCATAGATCCTGTTGAGTAGTCGAGGCACAGAAGGAAAAAGTGTGGGCTTTAGAGTTTTCAGGTCCTCAGGTAGCAACCGAATATCTCCTTGGAAGAAACCAACTCTGGCACCACAAGAATATATAACAGCCTAAAAGCAAAACCAGAGACCAGGGTTCAGAGCCAAAGGTCCACTATAGGTAGGGCCTGTCTTGGATGGAATTGAGGAACAAGGTTGACATTCATGGGCACTTCTCTCTGGATAGCACCTCCCCCACAAACATTAGATACCCAGAATTCTGGCAGCCTAACCCCAAGACAGGTTGGAAACTCACTGCTGCTGGGGTGGCAGGACAGGTAAGACCAGCCGTGAGACTTAGGGCCCAGCCTACTCCACCTATAGCTCGGAGGGACAGTCTGACAGCTGCCCTTTGTAAGAGAGGGTTCATTACGTAGCACTAAGGAAAACACTGCCAGTTAAACTACAGCATGCCTACAATTGCAAGACCATCTCAGTTTCAGAGGTGTTAAAATGTGAAAAAAATGTGATTAGAATTGATATTTTATTAATCAGATGTCAATACTTTAGCCCAACTGAACTGAATTGTTGATTTCGGCACTTCGCACGTCCACAGATAAGCTGGTTGAAGTGGTATTTAAGTGGGTAGCAGAGAGGGGATTTTCCACTCTTACAACCACACATGTTTTTGGAAAGCCAACACTACTTTCAGTTCTCAGATCAGCTTCAGAGCTGCCTGGAAAGCCTGGAATCCACTCACAGAAAGGTGGCTCTCTGGCACACACACAACCCTGAGCGGCTCTACCTCACGACACTGAACATCCTACCTATCAGATGCTCCTTCTCTGTCCTTCCGTGGTTAACTTCCCGTTCTCTAACTCGAGATCTTTTTTTAAAAAATCCTAACCAAAGTAAAATTTAAAAGACAAAACAGTGTTTCCTATCTCGGCTCCAAATTAAGAGTGGATAGTAAGCCCCTGGGTAGGACTTCACCATTCCCAGGCACGCCGTGGGAAAGCAGGAGCAAGCATTTGTCCTGCTGGACATACACAGACATGGTGAGAAAGGCTTTGTGGCAAGTTAGGACTAATGCTGGACTCAGCTGTGCCAGCTCCCTGCCTACTGGTTTCCCATTAGAGAAAGGACTGGAAATGTGTAGCTGCCTTTGGAATAAACATGGAACTAGCAAGTCAAGACCACCTTTTCACATATGTGCTGGGAACCTAGGACACTCACCTGTACAATCCTCTCAAACATATGAGCCAAGGGCAGGTAGGATATGGTCACATCTTCAGGGGTGGGCTTGAAAGTATACTGTAGATTAGAACAAGGAGGAGACATTGTGTTAATGCCAACTTTCTCTTCCAAAGGAGACTTAAAAGTAACTCCCATTAACTACAGTTAATAATACTGTATTGCATATCTGCAAGTTAGTAAGTGAGCAGATCTTAAAAATTCTCATCACAAGAAAAAAAAAACTATAGCTATGTGTGATAATGGATGTTAGATTTATTGTGGGAACCATTTTGCAACATATATATGGAATCATGTTGTGTATCTGAAATTAATATAGTGTTATGTTAATTGTATCTCAAAATTTTTTCTTTAATTTTAAAGAACTGCTCCTTCCCAGGACTGCCACACCCAGTTGTACAGGTGGTACACTGTATAACTCTGAGAGGTGCCCCTTAATTTCACTGAGTGTAGAGATGTGCAGTGATTCTAAAAGGCCAAGGCTTGAAAATGCACAGTCCTCTGGACAAAGATACACCACTATTTGTCCCTTCTTCAGGCCTTTATCATGAGTTTTGTTTTTGTTTTGTTTTGTGTTAGTCTCTGACTCCTCTTACATCAGGATTAAAATCTTATGACAGATTTACATTTTAATGAAGACCTCTTTGACAATTGACCACTGACCTCCACACATTTGAGGAAAGAAGAAACATTTGATATAATATTTTGATGGGTCAGCATGGCTCCTTTAGGGTCACCTGTAGGAAACAGGACATGGAGAGAAAGATCCTTTAGATAACTAATAGGTAGCTTTTGGCTATGAAAGAAGAAGATGTGTTCAATTGGTTCTGTTCCCAAGAGCCAAGAGTTTCTCCTGTCACTGTGCCCTTTTATGAATGCTATAGGACTCTGTTTATAAATGATTAATGCACCCAGAGACACTACTGCTGACACCTTTATTAGCCTTCTACTACCACAGAGGGTAACAGCCACAATCTCAGATTGCAACAGTCAAAAACAAAAATCCAAGTAACTTCATCTTGTGCAGTTTTTAAGACTTCAGACCTAACTATATTACCTAACTATCTCATCATGAACAGGTACAATGGACAGGAGGATGTGACTCTAGGTCATCATGGTCCATTATCAAAAGCTATTAGGAGTTTTAATAGAAAAGTAATGGCTGGGATAGGGTAAGGCACACACTGATCTGTGTAGAACTATCCCTGGGTCACCTTGATTGAGTGAAACTATTTTGGTGGTGTCAGGTTGAGAGAGTGGGGGCTTGGGGAAGAAAGTTGACTTCCTGATGCCATCTGAATGGCTCCTGAAATCCATACCATGTAAACACCTCCCAGTGTGTTCAATGAAATGTACTTGCTTATACTTAGGTTTTTCTATTGAGCATCCATACTCAAAAGCTCTAAGTTATGAGATCCTAATGATAGGGTTCATTATAGGATATATTTACCAGCCCATCAGTGCTCAGTGACTCAAGCTATGTGTTTTAGCCAACCAGGGGCCTCTGGGACAGCTTCATGCACACTGACCTGTGGTTCCACTAGTGAAGCAGATGATACTCAGGTCTTCTGGTCTAGGAGGCTAGAGAGGGGAAGCACAAGGGTTAACCTACCAAGAACTTTGGGAATTTAACAGGGCAAGACTGACATTTGAGCAGGAAAAAAAAACTTACCACAGGTTTTCTGAAGTTCTCTTTGCCTAGATTCTACACGAATAGGAAGCCAAGAAAGGAGGTCATTAGTTATGATGGAAAGACATACAACAAACACCGCCCTCTCTCTTCTCTATGCAAACACCTCACTTTTATGTGATAGAACCAAAATTCTAACCTAGATCAGACCTGGAACCCAACATTCCAGCACAGAGGAAGCCTGAGGGAGGAGCATAAATTTTCTCTAGGACGTCAGTCTCAAGAAGGTAGATTCCAGAAGTCCAAACTCACCTTTGTACTTCTGAGGTCTAGTCATTTAGGACCATTACTAAATCTTTCTGAATAACAGAAATAGTTGACATTGCATGCTTTACTACATACCAATCACTATTTGGAACACTTTATATAGATGAACTCATGTAACTCTTTACAACCCATCTGCGAGGTGGGGACTATTTCAGCCTCATTTTAGAGAGGGGAAGAGGGAGACGTGGAGCACCTTGCCTAAGGTCACCTAATAGATGTAGAGCTGGAATACAAACCCTGCAACCTGACTCCAAGACCTCTATATATCTATCAGTATGGATAGATCCTCTGCTTAGAAGTCTGTTCCCATTGGCCACAGACCCTCTCCTCTGACATGGCTTCTGAATCATTTTAGGGACATTATTCTCAAGGCTTCACAGCATGAGTCTCATGGACTCCTCTCCTGCCACTGCAGGCAGACAACAGCCTGTGCTCTCATGTAGATGTCCTGAGTGTATATCCCCTGGTGTCAGGCCAGCTCAAGCCACTAGTTGAATTTAAAGCCCATACCTCCGCATCAAACAGAGATAAGATCTCAATTCCACTTTTCTCTGCTCTTTGCTTCAGGTCATCTTCAAAGGGATCCATGAGGATGATCATTTTCAGGCACGGGGTGAGGCCCTTCTCCACATTCTCTATCAGGGTTGATGCCTTTTGGGGAGTATCACAGATCACTGTGGCGATATCAGCTGAAAGCAAAAACAGAGCTGGAGGTCACCTCCTTGCTCTACTAGGTACCTGACTGCCTTGCAAGGAGGGAGAGTTTTTTTTTTTTTTTAATTTCAAAGCTAGTGGGTACCCAAAGGAGATTACACCTGCAAATCAGGTGTATAATGTGCAAAACCTGAAGCAATTCCATCAATAATAAGTGAACTTAATCAAAACAGAAGCACATAGTTTGCATGTGTGCTGCCCAGTTTACAGTTTCTAGAATCACGAAATTCCTTTTGCTAAAAAATACTGACAACACACATGGATCACTCAGGTGTGGTCCTGTCAATGTGTTTTCTGTTGGGAAGGGAAGTAGGGCGCAGAAGGAAAAAGAAGGGACAAATGGGATTTTAGCAGACAGGCGTTTTATGATTCTATATGTTAGCATGTTTTTTTGATACTTGTTTATAAAAATTTAAAACTTCTGATTGTGTCTATAGTCCCAATGGGTCTACTCACTTACCCTACTAGTTCTGGGACAGAAAGTAAGATTTTAGATATGTGAACGGGCTGTTACTTGACCACTGAGCTTGTCCTTGTTTCTCTAACAATGGTAATTTTTTCTACAAATCCACCATGGACATTGGTATATGCTGGCTAATTGTACTGACTTGAATTTACAACAACAGGAAATGAAATCAGTGGTTTCATAGTGATTTAGTCAATTAAATGACTTAGTCACCCACTCTATGACCTATTATCCAGTGTGGCCAAAGTAAGCTGTGTTATCTCTAGACTCTATTGTCATGCTATGCCACCTTGAGCATTTCGTTGAGCCTTTTATCTGTGGATATCCCTGCTTGGGCTTTTTGTAATTTCCTTGTAAATTATATCCTTGGTACTCCAAGATAGGAAAGACTTCAGCAAATTCTGGCCATAGCATTCCAAGTTGGCTAACACAAGCAGATGTTGAGGAATTACACAGCATTAAGACAAAATCAATTTATAATTTAATAGCAAAGTTTTACCCTTGTTGACAATGTATATGATGGCTTCTGCTCCCAAGGTATCATACAGGGGGACGGCTACCATGGAGTATGTGTAACAAGCCAACTCGGAGATGATCCACTGTATAGAGAAAAGCTCAAGTAAGGACTAAAGAAAGCTTTGAAATGGAAAAGTATTACTTCAATCATTCAGCCAATAAATGCTTATTTGATGCCTTTGTGTTAAAAGAAATCACCTGGGGGCCCTAGAGACTTCCACTGCTAATGTGATAGAGAACATTTAAATCAGGGAAATAAGCTAAGCACAAATGATTACAATACAAAGGACCAAAATACAAAGGTAGAGCGTGGTAAGTTCTATCCAGAAAAGGTATAGAAACTACTAGTTAAAAGGGTATTTTTCTTAGGTGGGGTGTAGGAGGGGCAGAAGAAGAGGAAGAGAGAGTCCCAAGCAGATTCCCCACTGAGTGTGGAACCCGACATGGGGCTTGATCTCACAACCCTGAGATCATGATCTGAGCCCAAATCAAGAGTTGAATGCTCAAATGACCAATCTACCCAGGGCCCCAACTTTAAAGAGGTGTAAGAAGGGAGAAAACTCCTTTGGGGAGGGGTCGTAAAGGCATCTGGGACTGCTCTGGGGAAAGTGACGGAAATTGGGCAGGGCTTTGAAGGACTGGTAAGACTTGGTCATGAAGATGGAGGCAGAGCAGGCATTCAGAGAAGGAAGCAGATGAAGAAAGGATAGTACAACATCACTGTGTATACATCAAGAGGCATGAGGAATAATACAAAACAAATTGGAAAGATGATCAGAATCTGCTAACAGTGGGCCTTAGGTGTCCGTCTAGATGTCATGTGCTGAACTGTGCAACCCCCAACCTTATAGTCATGTTGAAACCCTAACCCCCAATGTGACTGCTTTTGGATATCTCTTTTTAGAGGCCTTTAAAGAGGTAATTAAGGTTAAATAAAGTCATATAGATGGAGTCCTGATCTGATATGACTGGTGTCCTTCTAAGGAGAGGAAGAGGCACCAGGGATGACAGAGGAAAGGCCATGTGAGGACTCACTTTGAAGGAGCCACTTGCCAGCCAAGAATAGAGGCCTCAGTAGAAACCAAACCTGCTGACATCTTGATCTTGGATTTCTAGCCTCCAGAACCATGAGAAAATAAATTTCCATTGTTGAAGCCATCCCATCTTGGTATTTTGTTATGGCAGCCCAAGGAGATGAATAGACTAGGTTTGGCATTAAATTCCTAAACTAGAATCAAGGATATCTCTTCTTATTGAGGCCGGGTGGTCACAAAGGTGGATTATGTAGATTCGCCTAAAAGTGCATCTGGTGCTCTCTCAGGTCTTTGGTGAAGCAACTATCTCTAGGGAACATAGGACATCCAACACTCTGAAGCATACAAAGGCTTTGTCTAAGTATATTGGTCTAATGACTTAACTAAAGCTTAATTCCAATCATTTCAATGTCTAAAATCTGCTTTAAATCCCTGTGGAAAGATGGGGACAGCCAGTCTCAGTAGCAATGGGTACCTTGTTTGACAAGTTCAAATACAGCATGCAAGTTCCAATTCTAATACAAATGCCTCTTCCTTTCCACAATATCCACAAGCTCTTATTTGCCAGCCCCACACAGCCTTCTTATTTTCCTCATACAACAAAGAGACTGAGTTAAAGTGAATCATTATGGGCTAGGAAATAAGAGAAATCCAGTTACTAGCCTAGAGCACTAAGCACTCAAGCAGGGATCAAAGAGGCCCTTGAGCTATAACTCTTTACAGGAGGACAATATTTAAAGGATAGCAAGGCTTTAAATAGTTTTGGTAAGTCATCAGCAGGTGTCAGAGTGCTGGTTTGGGGGTGGGGTTTAAGTCTTTAGACCTAGCCTTGATTTATTTCTGGAGTTCACTTGAGCATGGTTACCTCTGGCCTATTCTGAGCAAAGATGCCAACCGATTGGTCTGATGATGGCTCATATCCTTTATGCAAGAGACAGGAGCCCAGGTACTCTGCGCGATCAGACACCTATGAGAGAGACAGAAGGGGTGGGGGGGGGGAAGCAGTCAAGACCTCAAAGAGACCAAATAACCCAGAATACCACATTAACAAAAGAATCTATCCAAAACCATGGGCATGACTTACCTGCTTGTAGGACAGCCATTTGTAGGGCTGGTTTGGTTTTCTATATCCCAAGCAAGGCCCATTGTCTAAAAACATAATATTGAAAGAAAAATCAGTGCCAGCTGCAAATCCTTTGGTAATCATAGAAGGTAAAAAGAGATTAGGAAGAGACAAGGCACAAAGGAGGAGAAATCCAGTAAAGATGTGAGCTTCTCTTATGTGTCAAGGAAAGTCAAAGGCAGTAAGGACTCCATTCTCAAAGGCAGAGTCTTACAAACTACATCTGAAACATTTAGGAAATGCATTGAAACATTCGGAGTGGTTCAGTATTGGAATATGTGACCTCCATGGTTAACAGGCATTTGGAGAAAACCAGGAGTATGAACTACCCACATGATGTGAACAAGTAAAAGCCCGTAAGTAAACACAAACAGCCTATATCAAATGATAATCTTAGATTGAGCTTCCTTATAATAAAAGAAATGTATGCTCATAAAAAATGTAGAAAAAAAATCAAAATAGGAGTTGTCAATGATTTTATCACCTAAACACTATTACTAACACTGATATTGATTTTCATGGTTTCTTTGTATAGTTTTACAGGATTATGCTCATTCCAAAGATATATCCTGGATCCTACTTTCTTCCTCCATTTGATATAAAAATTCCCATGTTATTATTTCTTTTCTGTATAGATTTCAGTGGCCTTTTATGGCCAATGGAGGAAGGGCACTGTTGTTGAAGGACTTTGTTTCATTGTGGGTATTTAGATTGTTTCCAAGCTTGACACTTGAAATAATGCTCTGATAAATATTTCCAAATTGCTAATTTCAAATTCAGAACATTTCTTAGGATAGAGTCTCTGAAATGAAATACCATGATGCAGAGCAGTTGTGAGAATGGACTTTTCTCCCATCAGCACCACGTCAAGCAGTAGTCATTCAATAGTATCTTTTTCATATGCCTTCTGGTTTGCTAAGTTTAAAAAGTCAGTACTTTTGTCTAAGTTTCTTTAACAGCTATAAAAGTGGGACCTTTTCCCTTGTTTCATTTACTCTCTCAAATCACTTGTTAATGTAATTTGCCTGTTTATATGAGAATGTCTCCTGAGATACTGAGGCTCATAAGCAACTCCAGGAACATATACATGTGTGCACACACACACACAAGTACACACTTGTACACACACACATAAGCATTTGCCTTCAACATAATTACAATTGTGTCATACATTTGACAATCAAAGAACTAAACTCCTGAAGAGCTAAAATTTAGGAACTCCACTTACTAGAATAAATAGTAATGTCAACCATGAGAGCCATGGCAATGGTGGTGTTAGGTTAGGGTGTAGCACTAACTGAGAAATTCCCACATCTAAACCAGAGTGAGATGGAGTTATCAACAGAAAAGTAGAAGGTAAGGAAATTCTATCTAGAGGATCTAGTCAAATGGCTAGAGGGATTCAGGTCTTGCCAAAAGGTAGCATTCTGAGGCACAATTCAAGAGTAAATCAGTGAACTTCCAATCTGAGTGACAGAAAAAAAGGGAAAGAAAGCTGGAAAGATAGAACCACTCTGATTAAAGAAGTATTTTTAAAATGAATGAGGAGGGCAGCCCGAGTGGCTCTGCGATTTGGTGCAGCCTTCAGCCCAGGGCGTAATCTTGGAGACCCAGGATCGAGTCCCACATCGGGTTCCCTGCATGGAGCCTGCTTCTCCCTCTGCCTGTGTCTCTGCCTCTCTCTCTCTCTCTCTCTCTCTCTCTCATAAATAAATAAATAAATAAAATCTTTAAAAAAATGAATGAGGAGACTGTCCACAGGAAATGTTAGGACACTTTCTCTCTGCTGGAACAGCTGCATGAAATCTCAAGAAGTCAGGCCTCACACTGAAACTTCCCCAGAGGCAAGACAAGTCCTCCTTCAGAGGTGTTCACAACCACCGCTCCATCCCAGAGAATGTACTTCTGGTGGTCTACCACTGCAAGCACTGGTCTTAATACTCCTTACTAGTGATAGCTGCCACTATTGGAATATTCCCTGTACACCATAACCAACTGTTGTTATCCCTACTAAGCATTATGATGGACTGGGGCAGTTTCTTCAAGCTCACCCAGTAAGAAATGGCAGCAAATGTGGAAATACATACTAATAACTAAAGATGAAAATTCTAGCAGAGGCCCATGGTCAAGGAACAAGTCAAATAATTGGCCCTAAGGGGCACCAACCAAAGTCTCATTAAACTCTGTCCCCTAGTCATCTTCAGGCTATTTAGCCAAAGTCCTGCCCGGGCAACAGCCTAGCCTTTGATTAACTTATTCAACTCAGCTCTCCTCTGTTCTAAGGTGTGGCTATCTACAAAGAGCCCACTGGCTAACTTCTTGGCAAAATTGCTGCCCTAAGCAGAAGAGTTGAAACTCTGGCCTGCAGAACCCCTGAGAAGCTTTGTTCAAGATTCAGATTCCTAGGACTCACTGTGTGGCAATATGATCCACTGCAACAAGGTGGAGCGAGAGGATCTATATTTTAAACATTATGCATAGATGATTCTCAACATAGGCCATCTATTGGGTAGAGATTAAAAGTATATGTTAGGGTTGGGGCGCCTGAGTGGCTCAGTCAGTTAAGCATTTGACTCTTGATTTCAGCTCAGGGCATGATCTCAGAGTTGTGAGACTGAACCCTGCATCAGGTGGGGCATGGAGTCTGCTTAAGAGTCTTTGTCTCCCTCTGCCCCTCTGTCTCTCTCTCTCTAAAAAATTTGTTTTAAAAAAGGTATATGTAGGGCTGATTTATTCAATTCCACCTGGGACCAGACCTATCATTTTTCTTTCTCATGCCTGCCTACAGGAGAGGCCATTTTAACTTCATCTGTTTAGTTGTAATTCAGTATTGAAAAACGTATTCTAACTGAAGAATCTTAAATGCCATGTAACATGTGTTCAATGGCTTGTTTCTAGTTACAATGACAATGGGATAAAGAAAACAACGAAGAAAATTTTGAAAAACAGAAAATTCCAAAGGAAAGTCTGTTATTTCAGCCATATGGTATCTTCAGTTGTAGAAAACTAAGAAACTAATTGTTGTTTGGGGCTTTGTTATTTGCATGGAAGCCTAAAGTAGTACTGATTTGGAGCCAGAAATACCAAGTAGTCCTCTTTGGAGCCTTAGCATAGAAGTTTTCTTTACAAGAAAACTTTCTTTGTCTGGAGAAGCAACTACTTTTATAAAGCTCTTAGGAGCTAAGCAAAAATAGAACAACCGAGTCAGAAATATTTCAGTATCAGCTGAAACATTTTCTAATGCCATCACCTTTGGAATGTTCCTGAACCTCTGAGTTTTTATTTCCTCATTTTTAAAAATAGAGGCAATAATAACTAATCCTTAAGGGTTAGGGGAAGTTAAGCAGCTAGGATGTATGTAGTGCCTGTTGCATAGTTTGCACTTGAGAGGAGTTGGCTGTTAAATATTGTCATAGCTAAAGGGCAGAAGGGATAAGAAATCACATAGGCAGGGGCACCTGGGTAGCTCAGCCAGTTAAGCGTCTGCCTTTGGCTCAAGTCATGATCCCGGGGTCCAGGGATCAAGCTCCACATCAGGTTCCCTGCTTGGTGGGGAGTCTGCTTCTCCCGCCCTTTCTGCCTCCCTCCCACTCATGCCCTTGTCTCACTCTCTTGCTCTCAAATAAGTAAATAAAATCTTTAGAAAACAAAAAGTACATAAGCAAATCTATGTCTGGACAGAGTGTCACAAGAAAAAAAAAAGATGTAGGGAGAAGTATAAGCTGGCTGATTTTGAAAGGAAACTAGTGCACCTTGAGTTATGTTCAGTAATACAGATATAAGTAGTGAGCCTTGATGTATATGTAGGGCTGATTAGCCTTGATGTTCCAAATGGACCTACCAAAGTCCATGTGGTGGCTTTTCCAAGGAAGTCCAAAAGATCATTGCCTTCTGTGATACTAGAGTATTGACGTGGACCAGTACTGGGGTCAAGGACAAGGTTAGAGGTCAGGAGCCCTGAATGCTAATTTAGGCTCATATTCTGCATCTGTAAATGCAGGGAATTGCATTTATGAAAGTTCTATTTCTAAATTAGATTTCAAATCTAATGTACCTGTGAGTTAATCAAAATACTTTCCTACATATTATGTCAGCTCTTTACCAACTAGCTGGGGAAGCTTTCCTTGTGTTAAGTAAGGAATAGATCCAGAGAGGCAGAGTGATTTTGCACAAAGTCACACAGCTGCAAATAGAAGAGCTAGGTTTCAAACTCGAGTCTGTCTTACCCTGTTTCCAGCACCCATTCTGATACTGTATGCTACGTCCTCTGCATTTTGTATGTCTTCATTTAGACTACCACTGGGGTTTAAGAAATGAGATAGGGAAGAACAGGTATGCAACAAGACCCCATCTTGGTCTTCTTGTAGCCAAATTAGGCTGCCAAGCTTACCAGACACAGCAAGTCCTCTTTGGAAAACTTCATACATTGTCTTGACATCTGGGTAGTAGTAACACAGTGGGTCATTGGACTTCTGGCCAACACACTTCCGTGCCCCTCCCTAAGACACAAGATCAAGTTTAGGCCAGGCCTGAGTTTCTCCCACCCTTTGCAATCTCTCATGGATTGAATTGAAGAGACCATAAATACTGAACATTGAGGTCGCAGGAATGACATCTTTATTATTCAATCAATTTTTAAATCCCCAAATTGTAGTATCTCAACATTATAGAAACCCAGTGAATGTCACAGTTATGTTTTTGGCAATTTTCCCCAACCCCTATGGGCGTATATACATACACATGTGGAGAGAGGAGAGATAATATTATATTTTATGTTTTAAAAAAATCATACCAATTTTCATCATCTACCAAATGCACACTATATTCCAGCGCTATATAAATACTATAAATGCAAAGAGAGTTAAGACAAAATCCTTGTCCATCAGCGTCTCATTAATGAATCTTTGGAGTGGAGATGAAGTGAAAAGGGAAAACCTACAACTATAATATTGTGATGATATAGGAAGATGCGTGATGCTACCCATTCTGTATTAAGTAGAAAGGTGGTAAAGAAAGAATACTTAATAAGGACTTTGAAGATAAGTAAGCATTTACCAAAACGTTATAGTTTGGTAGAGGGGAGGGAAAGAAGGAACAATTCAGAGTGAAGGAACAGCCTGAATAAAGACACAGAGGTGAAAGACACATTGCAGAGTCTGGTGGGTGGTCTCTGTCCTGTAGAGAGCAGGGTATTAGAGAAAGAGATAGTGAATAGTGCTGTGCCTAGAAATGTCAGCTGGAACCACAGGATCAGGCCCTGATGAGGATTCTGGAGCAGCAAGAAGAGCTACAAGCATGGTCCAACCCTCACACAAGTTAGTCTAGAGGGGACCCAGGCAAATAAAACACTCAAAAATGTAAGTTACTACAGAGATAATGGCTAAAAAAGTGCTGGGTAACACATGAGGCTGTAACAAGAGATCTAGCTTAGTCTAGAGCATCAGAGAAGATTTCCATATGTCACATTAAGTCGAGGTGTCAACAATAAAGTTCCCTGTCTAGTAATAGAAGACAGGGTTTTATTGTTTGTTTACACAGATGGACCTAAGAAGAAGGAAGAAGGAGGGATTATTCAGACTCAGTTTAGGCAACTGGATGAGAAGAGAAGCATTTAACTGAGATAGAGCAGGAGGGGAAATAGGAAAGTTTGTGTAAGGGAGAAGATATGCAATAAAGAGACTTGTTGAGCTTGAGTGTCACTGAGATGGTCTAGGGCTGGGGAGAGTTCAGAATTAGAAAGCCAGATTCGAGTGTCATAAATGTTTAGGTACAATTTCATGTCATGAAAGAGGAAGGATTTTCTCAGCTAGGAAGATTTCACAGGGGTGGGCAGACTGTAATCTAGGGCCAGATCTGGCTTGTCATCTCTTTTCACAAATAAAGTTTTATTGGAACATACCATGCTCATTCACTTACATATTCTCTGCTACTTTCATGTTACAGCAGCAGAGTTGGATAGCTGCAACAGACTCCAGATGGCCTGCAAAGTCTGAGCTACTCACCATCTGGCCTTTAAAGCACATGTTGGCCAACCCTTGCTTTAGAGGAATCGAGATGGTGAGACTGAAACGCTAGACAAGGGGAGGAAAGAAGCTCAGTGACAAAGACCACCTTGAAATTAGAAAGAAATCTCATTGAAGGACATTATGAAAGACAAAAAGAAATTTTAAGAAAGAAGAATTCTCAAGTCATTTGAGAGGAAAGCTGGAGGAGAACTCATTGAATTTCAAGGTTACATGATGGGTGACCCAGAGAAGTTTGGGGAAGATGGTAGCAGCAAAAGTCAGATCTCAGTGGGTTGAAGTTCAGGAAAGGAAATCGACAGGGCACTCTTAAAGAACTGTACTGGAAAAAGGGAAGACTGAAAGGAGGTGGTGGTCTGAAGCAGCGGATCAGCAGCATAGGAAGATGCCAATGAAGAACATGCAGACAATGCCTAAATAAAAGTGTTGGTGGTGGAGAGTGGACGTAACATGGAGTAAGAGTCCCGAGTAGAGGGAAGAAGCTCTTGAAAAGATCAGAAGGGGTTAGCCTTATAAAGGAGCAGAAACACTTTCTTCTCTGAAAAGGATTGAACATAAAAAATGATGAGAACATTCTGGGGACTTTCCCTTTGCTCAGAGATGTAGAAAGCTGTGTGATTTGCTGAAAGTCAGGGAACTGAGGGGGAAAATCCCACTTCAACTTCTGCCAGTTTTCAGAATGGATAGTAACTCGAAGCCAGAATTTAACTCAAGGAAATAACTTCTTTATCATTCTCAGATATTGGGTATCTCAATGAGAACATTCTCCTACCCCCAAAGCACTGGCTCTGTCATCTAGAACATAGGTCAGCAAGATTTTTCTGTAAAGGGTTAGGCAGTAAAAACTTTGTGCTCTGTGGAACACATATGAACTGTTTTTCTTTTTTCTTATATATATATTTTTATCAGTTCTCTTTAAAAGTATAAAAAACCACTCTTAGCTTCCTCGTTGTGCAAAAAGTAAAAGGTGGATTTTGCCCACGGGCTATAGTTTACCAATCCTGATCTAGATTACTGGCATCATAAACTCTAGCTGTGGTGGTTTCATTTTTCTTACCAAGCCAAGTGTGCCAGTGATCAAAGTGTAAATTTATAGATTTGCTGGCGATCATGAACCTAAAAGGCTAACTTTCTCACCCTATATCCCATCCTCCTCATGAGTTCTCCCAAGGTAGAGGATTGGTTCGGTTACCTCAATTCCCACCGACTGGTTGTCCAAATCCATAAAAGGCAAGACGGGCTGAGGTCTATTGATCAGCCACAGGAAGATGGCAGCTCCAAAGGTCAGGATGCAGATTAGTGCCGGGGTTGGAAGTGGGGAAAACAAGAAGTTAAAGATAAAAAGCATCTTTGTGAGTAGCAGCAGGAAGTTCAGGCCTTTAAAAAGAAAAAAAAAAAAGGAAAGAAAAAAGTTAGAGGAAATGGCTGAAATTTTTACTCGATAGTTGTGTTTACAAAAGGACACACACACACACCCCAACGTCTAACCCTCCAAAAACCAGGGTTGGACCTCTCTAGCAGCAGAGTTTCTCTTGCTGTTGACTTTAGCAATGTTGAAAATAATAGCTTTCTCCACTCCTGTGACTTGACTGTCCTCCCACAGTGGAGGGAGAAAGGAAAGGCAGAAAGTATCAAAGGAAACAAGTTAATCATTTCCCAGACAATTTTATGAAATGACTGCCCTTTTAATTGGGGCCCACAGGGCCGAGAAGAAACCTTTCTGGCTCCAGCCTAAGCTGGTAGTCAGAGGAGGGCCCTCTAGAGACCTTCACCTGCCCAGGCCAACCAGGGGGAAGGAGGGGTTGTTTGGCTTGGATTTCTCTAGTACAAAGCAGAGAAGGGAACATCTGTAGAGGTGACTCAACAGAGTTTAAAAATCAAGCATTCTGTATGAAGGACATTTCCTGCTGACCGGATAGGCCTCATGCATTGCTTTCTTTTTTGAAGCATCGGGAGAGTCTCAGAGAGCAACAGCATCTCAGTTTCCTATGTCCAATGCCCTCTCCTCCAGGGAGCCAAGAGAAACCATTTTTACCAGAGGCAACGTCCACCCTGTTCACAGAAAAGGTGCTAGAGAATGGACCCAGCACATGGTAGCAAGTGAGCATTAAAGATTTAGGCCAGGAAGAGATCTCAGGGAACTGAAACCACAAAGGTTTTCCCCAACCCAGCTTTTCTTGTAGTTTCCAGCCAAGGCCAGCTTTGAACTGCTCTGGTAGCAGGAACTAGTGTTTGGGAAGGTCCTAGGAACTTTAGCTGAGGCCATCTCTTCCAGCTCTTGCCCGGGACAGCTTTCAGACCAGGCTGTTTGCATGGATCATGGAGTTCCATCCAACCAATGTCATGAAGTAGCATTTTAGAGATGAGAAGAATTGAAGCTCCCAGGGGTAAAGCAACTTGTCCAAGGTCACGCACCACTTCCCACTGCTGCTTCCCCACTGAAATCTATAAGACCACTACTCCTCTTTCCTCAGGAGTCTAGTTATAGAGTTCAGGGAGACCAAACCTGCCTGGAACCTTATGGGTAACAGCAAAGGAAATTCAGAGTTTGCATTCTTCAAAGTTTACCACGGTGCCCTACAGAACAAGATCTCAGAGATGAGGCCAAACTTTCCCACTTAAAAATCAAGAGAGCTAAGCATGCTCAGTACAAAGTTTGATCTGATCAAGATCCTAGTTGCCCTGAGAACTCTGGGGCAGCTGCCATCAGCTGGCATCTGGAACTTTCTCCAAGAAGACAAACACTTCACCTTAACAAAGGCTATGGAGTCTGGTAATCATGTCAGTCATCTTGGCATTCTTCTGCTCCCTGACAGGTTATTACTTGAATTTGGAGCAATCCCTTTCCATTTTATGGAGGAAAGCTGAACTTCCAAACACTGGGATGACTGGCCCCCACTCCTTGGTTTCTTCCACATTGTGTTTAGGGGAAGAAAAAGAAGACACAACAAAAACAAAAGCGAGGCCCCATAGGTGCTAGGTTACCTCACAACTGGTGCTATTGTGACCATCTGCCAGGATTCTGAGAGCTGAGATTTTTTAAATCAAGCCTTATCCGGATTTGTAGGGTCAAGTGGCATGTTCAGGAGTCAGAATGTGTTCAAGAGCCAGCCAGGTAGAACTTTGTTGTTCCCAGATGGGGAACAGGGAGTCCCAGGGAAAATTGTGAAACTGGCAGAGTGGGGAGCAGCACCCAGAGGAAGAGAGACCTAATTTGTGCTTGGCCGTCCTACGCACCCTCAGCTTGAGACACTGCCCCCCATCCTGGAGTATCTTCTGATCTAGAATTCTCTCCTCTGTCTTAATCACACCTTCAAATTAAGAGATTCTTAACCTTTACTCCCCTTCTCAGCTAAGGGAAGAAATTGTTGACCTAAGGATTTTGGCTTTTTTCTTACAGAGAGCAGATTTACATTTTAACCAGAGACTTTGCAAACAATTTTTCAATTTTTTCAATTTTTTCAAGGATCTAAAGGTGAAATTTCTGCTTGAGGTAGCAGTGTGGGACCAGGGGGGAGGGAGGTGGAAAGCCTGGCAAGTAGCACAAGGGGAGGGGAGGAGAGAGAGAGAGAGAGAACCCAGGATCAGTCTAAGGGCAACACCTGCCGTCACCCCTCTCTGACTGTTACCACTTTGTAATGTGAGCCCATGATCACCAGATTAGATTTTTTTTTCTTCCTAGAAAACCTAGAACACTGGATTTTTGTAAAACCTCGATTTTAACTATTGGCTCAAGTAGTAGGTCTGGTATGGGACAAACAAAAAGATATCTGGCTTAATCTGGACCATGGTGTGTCAACTCTTGAGCCCTCCTTTTAGACATACTGCAGTTGCACCTCCCGCAAATGGAAGAGATGGATCCTTTGTTACAAACGAGAAGGATAGTTATAAATGTGAAGACGGCGGTTTCAGGAGAATGAAATGCCTTGCTTATGCTGGCAAGGGATTTTATTTGCAGAAGACACTGAAGGATGTGTCTATTTGTCAACTGAAAGAGCTTACTCACTTTGTTTGCTATGGCAAATCACCAAGCCAGTTCAAACAGGATTTGTGCAGAATTTCAGATGGTTCCTCTCTGCTGCCTCACATTTTTTTGAAAATTGAGGTAAAATTCAAAGACTAAATTAACCAATTTAAAATGTACAATTTAGCAGTATTCGGCACATTCATGATGTTGTACAACCATCGCCTCTGGTTAGGTCCACAACATTCTCAACCCCGAAAGAAAACCAAGTGCCCGCTTATTCCCTCCTCCCGCCACCCCCACAGCCCCTGGCAACCACTAATTTACTTTATTTCAATTTGAATAATTGAATAATTTGTTCTTACAAATTCTTAATATTTCATATAAATGGAAACCTGTAACAGTGACTTTCTGTGTCTGACTTTTCTCACTAAGCATAATATTTGCAAGGTTTATCCATGTTGTAGCACATATCAGTGCTACACTTCTTATGGCTAAGTAAATATTCCACTATATGGAGAGACAGTTTACTGATGCATTCATCGGCTGATAGATATTGGGGTTGTTTCCACATTTAGGCTATGGTGACCAGTGCTATCTATGAACATTTATATACAGACTTTGTTTTGAATGCCAATTTTCAGTTCTTTGAGGTAAATATGTAGGAGTGTGTGTAATTACTGGGTCACATGGTAATTTTACATTTAACCTTTTGAAGAACCACCAAACTGTTTTTCCACAGTGGCTGTACCATTTTGCATCCCAAACAACAACACAGGGTGTTCTGATTTCTTTACATCTCCACCAACACTTGCTATTTTCTGGGTTTGTTGTTTTTTTTTTTGTTTTTTTGTTTTTGTTTTTTGTTGTTGTTGTTGTTGTTGTTGTTGTTTTTTGGATAATAGCCATCCTAATAGATCTGAAATGGCACCTCATTGTGGTTTTGATTTGCATTTCCCTAATTGCTAATGATGTTGAGAGTCTTGTCATGTGCTTGGTGATTCTTTGTATTTCTTCTGTGAAGAAAGGTCTATTATAGTCCTTTGCTCATTTTTAAATTGGGTGATTTGTCTTTTTGTTGTTGAGCTGTAAGAGTTCTTTATATATATATGGATGCTAGACCCTCCTCATATACATAATCTGCAAATATTTTCTTCCATTCTATAGTCTTTTTACTCTCTTGATAGCTTTTTAAAAAATATTTTGTTTATTCATGAGAGACACACACAGAGAGGCAGAGACATAGAGAGAGTAGCAGGCTTCCTGTGGGGAGCCCAGTGCAGGACTTGATCCCAGGACCATGACCTGAACTGAAGGCAGACGCTCAACTATTGAGCCACCCAGGCATCCCTCGATCACCTTTTTTATACATACACACAATTTCAACCTCATGATGCTAGTACCAGAGATGATTTGCAACCACATATCATGTAACTCTCTCACTGTTTAGCTAGGAGAAGCTGAGGGCCCAAAAGATGGTAAAACTTTTTGGGCTCTACCACTACTGGACCGGGAAGCTCTGGTTAGCCCTCTAACCTTTAGAATCTGCTAACACTTCCAGATATGCTCAAGTAAATGAGAAGAGAAACCACTGTCTCTTTTGTCATGTATCCAATGTCACTCAGATTATAATTCTGGTTTGGTCATTTCATGGGACCTCCTGCAAGCAGTTGATGTGGTGGCATTTCCTCGTCCCTTTACACTACTATTTGGGAAAAAAAATGAGGTAGAGAAAGTATCATGGTAGTAAGGATGTGTTACACTGTACATGGGAGCTCCTCTTCCAGGTCATCTACAGGTGGATGAGCAAGCCATACTACACATTAGGATGGCCCCATGTGGAAAGCTTCCTTTACTTTTTGATATAGTGATAGGGACACACCACAGCCCCACACACCAGGATGTCCATTTGTCCCCAGTCCTTCCCCAGGATTCACTCCAGGGCCCCCCCTCCTCTGTGGTAGGTAGTCCCTCATCTACTAGCTTCTAACACATTTAATTCCCAAGCTAGATGAAGGATGCCTTCTGCCTTAACACCTGCTTTCTCTCTGATTATCCTATTTAAATATCACCCTTTCCACTCCAATCACTATCACAGAACCTTGTCTTCTCCTTTCTATGATGCTGTTAATTTTCTGAAATAGTCCTGGTCCCTTATCATCCATGGCCCCTACTGAACTGATATTCTAATTAGAACAGAGATTTTTGTTTTGTTCACCACTGTGTCTCTAATGCCTCTACCATGTCGGGCACATAGTTAGCTTACCATCAGTAGTTGTTGAATAAATGACCAGTTTTCTGGTACAGAATTGTCTGTTTCAAATACTCTGTTAACCCATATTTCCCTTAGTAAAATTTACCACCCCCAAGCTCCCAAATCTTAATTCATCAAAAATCACTCTGACCAAACTTG